ATAGATAATGAAATATTTTTCTTTATTATCTGTGCCCATCGTCAAAGATGACGAGCGTCTCGATAGCAAAATTGCGCCACCAATCAGAATCGTTCACATTTGTTATCACTATTTGTGAAAAATCACGTTTCTTATCATAGATAATAAATAATAATATATATAAAAAAATAGAAGACCTTTTTTCAGATAAATCGATATTAGATAGGTAATCATAAAGCATAATCGTATTAAGTGACAACTTATACTTACTTGTAAGTACAAGTGTTACTGTGTAAGTACTGTGTTATAAAAAAGTTCGTTTTATATAATATTGTCAACCTAAAGCAAATAAAAAAAATCACATAATATTTGTCAACCTTAAGTCTATCTATAATAGTTACAGTAAAATTAAAATATGTCATAATTAAATAAATACATTAAAATATTTGTCAAACCTAACGTCCTAAAATATAAAAATAAATCATAGTAAAAAAAGCATGTGGATATTAAAATATATTACTGGTAAGTATGATCGTGGGAAGTATGTATGTTTTGTACTTCTCCCAATACCAACCCTTCCTTAAGAGATTTCCTTTCGTTACATTCTATTCTACCACTGAGTGAATCAATTTTTCTTTTTTTGGCCACAAATCGTTTCTGTTTATCGATGTTCTTGTTTACAGGTTCCTTATTTTCTTCTATTTCGATTATCTTTCGTTTTCCTTGTAATATTTGAAGTAAGGAACTGCTATGTTTATTCATTGCTGCAATTTCTTTCTCGGTCACCTCACTTTTACTTGCAATAAGGGACGATAATATTCCTATTCCAGCTTCTAATTGATTTTTTATTTGAAATAACTGTTCATCTTCTTTGTTCGTATTTGTTTTTACTATTGATTTTTCTATAAAGTTTATTTCTGCAGCAGTACTAACTATACTAATTTAGTAAATGAAAAATATAAACAATTGTTGCAAAACTGGTATTGTATATTTTCCAAATAAATTTACAAAAAGTTATTCTGTCTCCAATCTCATTTTAGTACTCAACAAATCATTCTGTTATTTGGTTTTATGATTTTATAAATAATAAAAAATAAATAAATAATCATTATTGGTATAATAACTATTAAATATAATTAAAGGGAAAAAACCACAACATATTAAACATTTTATGTTTTGTATTTTCAAAGTAAATAAATATAACATATTAACATATAAATAATACAGTGACAGTGATTGATTTTTCATTTAATATTATACTTTAAGTTTGTCAATTTGATTTTATATGTAAACTAGCTGATCCCGTGTACTTTGTTACCCGTTAAATGTACCAAATCTATGACTTAAACTTTAAAATTTTCTTTGGATTTAATTATATTAACGTTGTTTATAAATTATTTCTGATTTCAACCAATATTTATTTTTATAATAGCTTTAAAACCCAAGGCAACCATTTATAAACAAAAATATCCACCGTAAATCTCAACATTCCTGTTTGAGCACCTCCCCGGAATGGGCCTACCGGGTCCGATTGTGAATCTAAACCATTCAAAGGCCCACTCAACTTACAAACACTCGTACAGTAGAATTATATATATAAAGATATAAATTATATATAAATAATTATTAGCCCTTAGGTTTAAAATATTAGTCACAATTATAAAATGTAAATATAATGAATTGATTCAGTGATTCAATGACATTTTAATGAGCTGAATCACATGAATTAGTTGGGGTTTGGTAAGTTCCCACACGAAACATAGCAGGTAAGCGAGTACATATGTAAGTTCCAACACGAAAAAAATACGCCCGTACGTAAGTTCCCACACGAAAAAAAATACGCCCGTACGTAAGTTCCCACACGGAAAAAATTACAACTGTACGTAAGTTAAGTTATTAAGACTTAGGAATGACAACTTGAATGAAATTTTTTTTTTTTCTAGGTATAAAATAATCAGTTCGGCCGCAACGCTCAGCATGAATGCACGTACGCAGCGTTTTCGCTCCGTTATCGCTGTGCGCCCTCGCTAATTATGTTTATTATTTTTGTCATCATTAATTATCTACTTTTACTAAAATATTTATAGTATTAGATTATTATGAATAAAGGCACCCGTAATGCGGGCCTCGTTCCGTCACGCACACCCAATCCGTCTAAGAGACATTTGTCTAATTCGTCGCTTTCGCCGAATCTAGCTGACAAAAAATCGAAAGTTTTTACTTCACCAAATCGTTTCGCCGTACTTGCCACAAACGACTCCACCGACAAATCAGCTGCTGCCACGTCCTCATCCAATCCGACGGATGTTCCCTTAGTGAGCCAACCTCACACTGATCACGTCAGGGATCCTCCGATTCCACCTATCTTCGTTAAAAACATAGTGGACTTCTCCGCCTTCAAATCCGACTTGATCGACATCACCAGCCCGAATGGTTTCACCTGCAGGGCGTCTTCATCATACCTTAAGGTACAACCACTTAGCCGCATATACTATAATAGTATCTTGAATCATTTACACGAAATTGATTCCAGTTTCCACACATACACCCCCCGTCACCTCCGCACCTTCAGATGTGTCATTAGAAACCTGCACCACTCCACGTTAGTGCCCGATATAATTAACGCGTTGGCCGAATTAGGTCACAACGTCAAATATGTTCACAACGCCAAAAACAAAGATAAAAGCCCCCTTCCTCTATTCTTTGTAGAGGTTAAACCTCAGGACAATAACAACGACATTCTGGGCATCTCTTCGCTTCTCAATACAAAAGTTTCTATCGAGAAACCACACATCAAAAAAAGAGGCCCACCTCAATGCCACAATTGTCAAGATTACGGACACACGAAAAAAAATTGTCATCACCAATCGAGATGCGTCAAATGTGGGGAAGACCATCACACGGAGGACTGCACCAAAGACCGTAGTAGTCCTGCTAAATGCGCCTTATGCTCCAAGGAACACACCACCAATTACAAGGGCTGCCCGGTATTCAAGGCCGCTTTCAAAAAAGCCTATCCGAGAGTCCCTCGGAAAGGCCCGATTCCCAATCCTCATCAAACTACACACAAATCATACGCAGAAGCCACCAGAAATCAAAGTTCACAACCCGATCAAATTGGCGAAATGTTTTCAAGTTTCATTTCTAATTTGAGCTCACTAATCAATCCCCTCATCTCCCTCCTCTCCTCTGTACTAAACTCACTGATTGCTAAAGGTACTATTTCTCCATAATTATCTCCGTCATACCACTTATTGCTCTTAATAATTGATCACACATCTATTACACTCCACTTGGAGATAGTAAATATAAGATAACAATAATCTGTTACTATTAAAATTGTTTATTTCTGTAATATACCTATTAGGTATAATAATATACAGTAAATAATATTGTCACGCGCTGGGTGTTACCACTGGGTAACTCCTCAAAATCATATTATTCATTGTTATTTGTTTTTGTATTCTGTTATCTCATCTAATTAATGTGCATACCGATGTATAGATTGTAGATTATCTTTTCACTCAATAAAAAAAAAAAAAAAAAAAAAAGGTATAAAATAATAATAATAATAGAAAAAAATCAAATTTTATTTGATTTATTTCGAAAGCTCAAACACTTCACATAGTCAAATACTCACATAGTCAATCTGATATTTTATTTTGTTTTTCTTCTTCCACACATTATTTGTATAGGTATAAAATAAATAATAATAATAGAAAAAATCACATTTTGTTTGATCTAATAACACTTTACAATATAGTGTTTGAGCTATCGCAATAAACCTAATAAAATTTGATTTTTTCTATTATTATTTTTATTTTATACATATACAAATATTATACACATTATATTATTAATTTTTATTATATATTATACAGACTAGATTCAATCATAGAACAATATAGAAGCGACACTCGATCAGCTGATGGGTGAAGTGTTTACCTATGATCTGAAGTCCGAACATTCAAACTGTTTCCGTTTATCATTCAATTGGACTTTTTTTTATGCAGTACAAAAACAAAACAAATTTTAACCACACCAACTACGTTTAAGTTGTCAGTTCTAAGTCTGAATAAAGTGGGAAGGAGGTTTGTGTTTGGCAAGGCTGAGCATTAACGAATTAAAAGTTAAAATTATAAGCAATGTATATAAACATTATTATGTGTCTGAAATTTCGTGTGGGAACTTACGTACAAGTGTAATTTTTTTCGTGTGGGAACTTACGTATGGATATCCAGAGGTAATTTTTACCTGCTATATCTCGTGTGGGAACTTACATTCGCCCAATTAGTTCACTAATAGAATTGAAAGTACCCAATACCCATCATAAACCTGTATGATTGATGATTATTGATTATTATATTATCACCACGGACTAAGATATACAGGACTGGACACGACAAGGTTGGAGGGTGTGAGGGGTTTGACTACGAAATGTTTTACAACAGGCAGTGTTCGGGGGGATATTTTCCTTTTAGCATTACTAGCGCCGCCCTAGTGGATACTTATGGAACTAGAACACATCATACAAATTTCTAGTTCCATAAGTATCCACTAAGACGGCGCTAGTAATGCTAAAAGGAAAATATCCCCCCGAACTCCGCCTGTTGTACAACATTTCGTAACCACAATATTCATCTCGTGTCCAGTCCTGTATATCTTAGTCCGTGATTATCACATTATAATTTTTATAAAGGATGATAAGAAACGTGATTTTCACAAATAGTGATAACAAATATGAACGATTCTGATTGGTGGCGCAATTTTGCTCTCGAGACGCTCGTCAAAGATGCATCGAGAAAAACATGTGATAATTGATAACTAGGTATGTGGATAATGGATATTGTGGTTCTAAGATAAAAACTAAAAAGTAAGGTTTGTATTTTGTACTTATAAATTGCTGCTTACCAATTACCATTTATCATTGTGGTAAGGTAATATTATATTGCACAATAGCGTATAATATTTGAAAATTTTATTTCCACTAACGCGAATAATATTCATCTCAACTTAAAATAATGAGTATAAACAATGTTGTAACAAGATCATGTCTGATTAACCATCAGGTAAAGTTATTACTTATATTTTATACTTTTGATATTCAATTAAGTCAATGTCAAAAGTAAAATCATATTGGTTTAAATTATTTTTGAATTTTATTAATGACTATAATATGTATTTATACCAGTTTTAAGAAGATACATTTTTAGTTCCGCAGATACGTGGCCACAACTGAAAAACCGAAAGACATAACATCTAATGTTAAAGGTTTGAGTTCCAAGGTTATCATTGCTAACCCACCACCAGGTAAATAATTATTTTATTTGTTTACAAAAATTGACTGATATCTATATACTGTACACCGAGAGAATATGACTAAACGCTAAACGTGTATACAAAATGTGTAGATCCTCACAGGTTACTCTCTTATTGGATTTGTAGCAGAAAGTGTCTAGCTTTGGTTTCATCGCACTCATATTCTCTAGGTGTTCAGAGTACTTAAATATTATTATTCTTTCTATTACATTGATTTTTATATCGTAGAACGTGTTAAGAAAGCTGCAGAAAACGGTCCCTACAAGAATCCACAATATTTTAGTTACCACAAAAATTCATATTTTGATGCTGAGATTGAAATGCACAAATATAGATTACCACAACCTTCAAGTTTAAAGTAGAAAATGTAAGATTTTATTTAAAATAATAAGTTAATTAAAGAAATTAAATTCTTTGGTTTTTTAGAATGTATCTCACTACTTTTTTAGTGTAGTAATACTCCATAAGTTTCATATAGACCTACAGATTAAAAATACATACAACTTTTAAAGAAATGAGAAACATAAGGAATTTTTATATATATTTTATGAATTATAGTTCACAAGGTTGAAGGTTATAAAAATCAATCAAAAATAAAATAATCTAAGAAACTCGACATTTTCACCAATATAATGTTATGTTAAGGGGATTCGATACCGTGATTTTCTGTTTTTGTCTAACACACGGGCAACATAGTATTTTAGACATGTTTTTTGCCAAACATTCCAATTGATCTATTGAAGCGATAAGATTTCTGAAAACAGATTTGAATTTGTCGTCAAGTCTACTTGAAGTTGACTTTCCCACATTTTTGATTTTTTGATTTTAACTTCCCCAATAATTGAAATACCATAATTTTTAAATACTCTTTGAATATTACATTTTAAAAAATTTGTGGGATAATATCAAAAATGTGGGAAAGTCGATTTCAAGTAGACTTGACGACAAATTCAAATCTGTTTTCAGAATTCTTATCGCTTCATTAGATCAATTGGTATGTTTGGCAAAAAACACGTCTAAAATACTATGTCGAGCGTGTGTTAGACAAAAACAGAAAATCACGGTATCGAATCCCCTTAACTATAACAGTTCATTATCCCTACTAAATGTATATTGCCAAGCTACATACACTATATTTATTACCATATAATTTTATTTTTCAGATTCACCATGGTTTTGTATAGAATTTTGTTAAGATACGTGCCAATGATAACTTTCCCAATAGCTTTTGTGGCTGGTATTATTGGTTACAATGTAGAACGTACAATTTCTAATGTAGAGACACCATCTATACCCAGTATTTTAGAAGAAAAACTTAAAAGAAAAGATGATCAGAAAATTTCATACAGTGAACCTCCGGTTTTAGAAAGAAATCTTTCACCACCATTAAAAAAAGACTATTAATTTAGTCAAACAATATATTTAGTTGAATAATTAAATTTTATAAAAATAAATTGTATATTGAATATTTAGTAGATTTATTTATATGTATTACAATCATTAAAATAAAATAATGTGTTTTTCATTTCATTTTTAAAATAAATATAGTATCTCAACCTAAAGGATGTTTATTAAGATATAAGTTAGATAAATGTTATTCAAATTTGTATTCATGAAGTTAATTAATATTTTGGTAATTAATAGACAGCATCAGGTTGAGACTTTACAGCCCATCAACACAATACATTTTTAATAAAAAAATTATGATAATGAAGTCATTGTGATGTAGTGATGTATTTTTGGAAATCCTAAAATAATTATTTCAACTTGTTCGTGTAAGCCCAAATATAGCGCTACTAGGGGAGATTTGCACAGTAGGCTCAATTCTGAGTCTACTAAAAATATTAAATTTTTGTGCATTTTAAGACTTAATTGTTGTTCGGCAGGGTTTTTTTTAGTGTGTAGTGAGAAAAGTAATTGAACAGTAAATAATGTTACTTTGTGCAGTGCAAAAAAAGATTTTCAGAATGATATTAATTATTGTATGATATAATTTATAAAATAATAATTGCGTAAACCTCAAATTAAAAATAAAATAAAATATGTTTCTATTAAAATTAAAAATTGTTAATATTATTCATTACTACTATACTATTATTTGATGTAAAAGTTAAACAACAATTACAAATAAATTACCTTGTCAATTGATAGTAGAGAAATTCCTTACTATAATCTAAGAGTGGGAATAAGTTTGTGCAGTCAGAAAAAATCATTAAAAAAAACTTCTGTATCATTCGTTCACTTTGTCTGTTTTGGGGAATAAAATACCATACAAGGTATACATTCTATACATCTCAGTAATAAACAGGTCTTTTTTCATCTTAAGTGTGTAAAAGCCGGTTTTTAAAATTTTCTGAAATTCACAACATTTTATTTTATATTTTAGTTACCATCTTAAATAAATCACAAAAATTAACGGAGTGAGTTTTCCTTGCAAGACATTTTTTTGTGCTAATAACACACCGGCTCCGACACCATTAATAATGTATTTAAATTTATTATAATCAAATCAGAATCATTTTATTGATTCCAATGTTCCGATATGTTGTGACAGATGTAGGTACTATTTATTGGTGATTTTAACTTGTTTGGATTCTTGTAACCCGTTAATGTTTTAAAAAATTATCCATTAATGACGATATTCTTAAGAGGTCTAGGGAATTTCTTTAACTAAATTGTAAATAAATAAAATAGAATATTATTTTTATATATCAAAATACCTAGGAATTAGGAATCTTTTTTGTTTAAAAACATTATCTAATTAGACCATATCTAGAATTTTGTCTGCAAATAATTCAACTCATATTATGTCCTGGATATTGCTTAACAGTGAATATAATTAAAATATTATATATCAGACATATCACAACATCCAGACATCCTATATCTAGAGACTTTTCACTTAACACAATACTCCATTCGTCTTGACTCTTGACTATATTTATAAGATTTAACTTATTATTAATAACTGCTACGTTTGTTTATGATTTTGTAAATGGTTATTATTTGCTCAGAAATGATGTGTTAAATTAGTTATTGTATCTCTTAAAAGTATACACTATTTAAATTTATTTTATATCCAGAGTTTTTTTTATAGTTGGCTTGTACAACAATCTTAAGAGTATTTGTTTTTTTATTTTTTCCTCCAATGTGATTAAAATGTGAAGCTTTATATGAATCATTTTTATTCTTAAATTTTAAATACCTTCATATTTAGGTTTTTTGAAATTTTATATTTTTGTTTTATGTCTATGTGTTGGTTGACTTTTTTATATATAATATTCAGTGTTGGGTAGTAACGTAACGAAAGTAACGCGTTACTGTAACGCCGTTACTTTGTTTGTAACGCGTTACGTAATTTAATTACAATTATTTTCAAATAACGAAAATGTAATGAAAATTACTTTTGATGAGTAATTTACATAGTATAACGCGTTACAGTTTTAAATTATTTAGTAAATATTGCGAATTTCAAAAAAAAAAAACTTAAAAATATAATGTCTAATGAGGGTATTATTTATTATACAAGTGGTTAATTATTATACGTTCCTAATGTTCTTATTAACTATTGTCTATTATTAAGCATAAACTAGGTATACGTCTGTACATGCACTAAAAATAAATATTGATGGATAACCAATGATAAATCAAATTATTTACATTGCAGTGTTATAAATAATTATTATTGCTGTTTGGCATTTTACAAGAAACGGTGAAAATAATAAACTTATCTAATATCTTTATTAGTAATGAGTAATGACCGAATATTCATATGTACAATTTATTACTACTATTTTTAATAGTTGTAACTTAAAAGTTAAAAGTAATTAATATTGTTAGGTATGTATTTATGTTATTAACTGTAGTTACATCTTTTTCAAATTATACCATATCTTCTGTAGGAAGTGTATTTCTAGTTCCTTTGCTTTTTAAATGATAATAGCTAAGCAATTAAAAAAAAAATTATAAAAAAAAAAAATGTAACGAGAAAGTAACGTAGTTACTTTTCTATTTGAAAAGTAAAGTAATTTCATTACAATTTTATTTGAGTAACGAGTAAAGTAACTTTATTACATTTCTCTCTAAGTAACGAGTAAAGTAACTTTATTACTTTTTAAAAGTAATTTACCCAACACTGATAATATTATATATACTTAATGAAGAGGACGTGATACCCGTATGTGTTGTCTAAGTCTTGCAAGTGCATAACATGGCAAATTTTACGCTCAGCAAAAAACGTGTAGCTCCGTCAATTTATAAATTAGAGTAAATTGACCTCTTATAAAATATAAAGGTAGGATTATTATCTAGACAACCTCATGAGCTTTTTATTATATTTTGATTTTTAAGCGAGTTATGAGTACTTAAAAATGTACAAACAATTTACAGTTTTAAAATACTCATAGCTTGCTTTAAAATTAAAATATAATAAAAAGCCAATGAGGTTGACTAGATAATAATCTTACCTTTAGATTTTATAAGAGGTTAATTCACTCTAATTTTTAAACTAACAGAGTTACACGTGTTCTGCTTTGCATAGAATTTGCTGTTACGTACTTGTAAGACGGAGACAACACATTGCGGGTATCACATCCTCTTAAAGGGCTTATACTCACTGATAATTACAAAAATAGTTAAAACATCAAGCTTTTATTTTGAAGATATGTAGATCAAAAATTTCAACATGGTTGATTTTACTTTTGATAAACATTTTTATATGGTGCAAATTGACCTTCTGGAAAATAAGTAAAAATAATAATATATTATTCAACACATCCAAATTTTTTAATAATTTCAACTTTCAATTTTTAGTTAATTTACCCTGTATTACATAGTGTATTAAAAAGTATGTTAAGTAAAAAAAATTTGAGGAAGTAGGTACCTATAAATTATATATAAAATCTAAAAATATTAAATTACAATCTGTAAATAGGTACACAACAATTTGTTTTCAAGAAAAATATGTTGCAATAATTTACATAATTTAAATAATATATGTACGTATATATAAATAAAAGATAAAATATTTCAAGTTAACAAAAAATAAAAATTAATTAATTAATAAATAAATAAATAAATAAATAATGGTAGCAAAGGTCACAAAATAGAATTTATTAAATGCTTCTTTCCTCAGTGAAATTGATCTCAAAAAACCTTTACTGTTTCTTTGGTCAATGTATTAATAATGAAATAAAAACAAATTTTAACTTTCTATCACTTTTTTCTAACGCTATAAATCTGTACTTTCGGTTTCTTTTTTAGTAGATAAAACAGGGGGTGGAGGAGGTGGAGGTATGGGTCGCTGAGTTCTTGTTGGTGTTTTTGATGCTGGTAATTGTCCTAAAATTAATTTCAGATCAAAATCAAAATATCATTTAATAATTATTAATATGCTAACCAGATTGGATGTCTGATGGTATATGACGGTGACTAGAAAAATTTGGACTTATATACCCACCATTGTCATCATTTGGATTCTCTTGGTTTGTATAATACGTATCCATTATATCTGAAATATAGAAGCAATTATATACCCAATAGGCATTTTGAAAACATTTATTTTAAAAGTAAAATTAAATACAATAATAATTATTAGTTAATCCTAACCAGTATGTTGATTTTGGTTAGTTTCTTTATCGTCACATTGATCACCAACTTGTATCAATGAAACTTGTTGTTTAGACACAGTGTATAAGTGTGCTCTTTCCAACATTGGCCCTTGATCCACCTATAATTATAAAAAAGGAATAAATATTGAAGTTTGCATACCAAAATTAAATTATTATTACATCTACTTTATCATTAGAAACATCTGTTAATATTCTAAGACTCCTAAATGAAGAACTTAATGGTCTTTGTAAAGATGCTGGACGTTCAGGTATGGCAGGTTTACGGAAAACTGTATCATCAGACGTTTCAAGTATTGTGCGTGGAGCAACTGCAGGCTTAACAGGACGTTTTAAAGAACCTGTATCAGCAGCTGGTAACTTTTCTCTAGGAGATTCGGTAGTTTGACTAGGTTTCACTAAGGAACCGGGCGGAGGTTTATCACAGTTTGCTTTATCTTGGTCTTTTATAGTGACTGGAGGACTTTCAAATATGTTGTTTGCCTTAATTGTTGGTGATGGTGGGACAGGAGCAGGTTTACTTTTACGTCCTCTTGTGTGCGGTTTTGGACTCTCTGATGGAGGGCTAAATATATCATAATCAAATTGTATACTTTATTAATTAATTTAAATAGTTCAATAAATGTTTTAATAGTCTTATAATAATTAAATAAAACACACATATCATCGTCGTCATGCAAAAAGTGACAAAGTGAACTTTTTTAAGATTTTATTTGTAAATTTTAAGTTTGTATCACTTACAGAAGTGTCGCCAGTAGGTGGCTTCTCCACCATATCTTCTAGTAATGTAATCATTTAGCTTATTATACAAAATATGTAGATTGTTTAACTCAATTTATTACAATACAAAAAAAAAATTTGCATTTCTACTTTATTATTTCACTAGATCAGTTTTTGCATCTTTAAACCACAACTTATGGCCAGATTTATAGACGATACTTAGAAAAATCTTAGTATTATCTCAACTAAAACTAGAAATTGGTATTTATAAATCAGACTTATGATATTTACTAAGAATTATCTTAGTTATATTTTAACTTAAATAAATCCTAAGTTTTGGTATTTATAAATGGTACTTTGAATAATTTTAAGAAAAACTTGAGTAAAAATTAAGAAATATCTAAGGTACCTACTAACCATGCTTAACAGTCACTCAACAGACACAAAATTAATAACTTGGTATAAAATAGTTATTTTTATACTATTAAATTGTTGTTCGATCTTTTATAAAAAGTTGATAATTTTGTTTAATTTATTTTTTACTATTTTAAAATGGATATTGATTATCTTGATGATGACTTAAACTATGTTTGGCTAGAACAAACTATTCGTGTTCCTAAACGATATTTACGTGATATGCAAAACTCCATTGAAGGGTAAGTAATTTTGAAATATTTTTTAATAATTCCCCTTTACAAATATTTATTAGTAAACATTACTAGATTTTCAGATTTGCAATTTTTCCAACGGTTTAGGTTTCCAAAATATATTGTGTTAGAAATAATTTTACCTATGATATACTTGGATAATATGGATTGAAATTTTGATAGACGTGGGTTTAAAATCGATAATATTACAAGTGTTAAAATTGTCCTACGTTTCTATGCAAGTGGAAATGACCAAGTATTTGAATGCAATTTAAATGAGTAATTATGGTAAGATTATTGTTAATTTAATTTTATTGTTTTATAGAGAGTCAATGGAGATACATTAGGATATTCACAAGCTTCGGTTTCTATTGTAGTTAAAGAAGTATCGGGATTACTAGCTAAATGTGAAAAAAAATGGATTTGATTTCCATCAAATTTACAAGACACTAAGGAACAATTTTATTTAATTGGTGAATTTCCTGGTGTAATTGGAGCTATAGATTGTGCACATGTCCCTATTAAAAGTCCCGGAGGCAACAACGCAGAAATGTATAGAAATCGAAAAGGATGGATATCATTAAATGTTCAAATTGTTTGTGGTCCTAAAATGCAAATTTTTGACATAGTCTGCAGATGGCCAGGTTCCAACTAATGTAATTAATAAGAAATCGTATTAGCAATATTTGATATTATTATCACAGATAAGACAGCTAATCTGTGGCAATAAAATATTAATTATGCTGATAACAATAAAATTATATATGATCTCCCGAACATTTTGCTTTTAAGAAATATTTTTACTTGAAATATTCTTAGAAAAATCTTAGCTAAGAAATAACTTAGTACCCTTTATAAATACCACTTGTGAGTTAGTGAAAAATATTTACTTAGCAAAGTTGAATATAATTAAAATCTTAGTATCGTCTATAAATTTGGCCAATAGTTACCAACATGCAAAAAGTAACCAAGTGAAAAAAAACCAAATTCATGGAGTTATACATAAAATGTTAAAAATTTTCAAGTGGTCACTTTTTTTGAGGTGACAACGATATTTAGAATAAACACAAACACTAAATACCTCATATCAGTAATATTAGTACTAGATCTACTTCGTTTCAAATTTGTGTCAAAAGAATCATTTGTATATATCAAATGTGTATCGCCACTACTTGATCTTTTATGGCCATTAAAATCATTTACGTCCAATACCTTTAATGTAATATAAAATTCTTCTTCTGAAATTAAAATGTTTTCATTATTTAATAATGAAAATATATTGATTACTATCAAATATTTCATTTTTACCCCCAGGAAAAATCCAATCCGAATGGGAAATTAGACAGTCTACAATGATATTATGACAAGCAGCTGCGTTCATATTTAACCTAGTTCATAGAACAAAAAAAAAAACAAGAATAATGGGCAATTTAAAATTCAATGCATAAGAATTCTTACCCTATATTATCACTTTTATCTTCGGGCGTCCATAAAAGGTTAGGTGCAATAACTATAGCTAAATTTTGTGGGCTCATTTTATTTACATCTTGATGTTTGGTCAACAAGGCCAAAAATTTAATTATATATCGTAAGTTATATAAATTTGATTGGGGTAACTTTTGTACAACATTTAGGATTGCTTGAAGTCTACTTTCACTAGTTTGTAATCTAATAAATAGTTAGAATACATTATACATTTATCAATAATAATCAAAAAATAATATTAGGTAGTTTATAAATGAAACCAAATTGTAAACATACTTAGCTGCAGCCATCCATTCTTCATACAAATGATGAGTTAATAGAGGTTCAGGTAACTGTCTCAAATAAGATTTTAAAACTCCAGCTATTATATGAGGATCTCTGTATTCAACTGCTGATTCTAAATCTAGACAATTAGAATCTAATCTAAGTTTCATGCATCGTACTTTAGAAGCACCAGCTGCAATTCGAAATAACCCTTCTTCTTCCACACCCATTTCCAATAAAGCACAAATACACAGTTCAATTGGATAGGCTATTCGTCTTTTTGTAACTCGTAAATGGTCTTCAAGTTTTTGACCAAAAACTGGCTTTGAAGGGTTACTATCTGTATAAAATGAATTAATTAATATTTAAAATATTAAAAGATTATACAACATACCAATAACAGTTTCTAATTCAGGAACTATTTCATTCAAAACGGCTAATGCAGTTTGGTGGTAAGAACGTTGATGTTTTATTAATTCCATAAGAACAGATGAAATTTCGGCTTCTCGTGATATTAACTGAAATATTTCTGATGCTAAAGAGTCCTTAATGTAAATAAAAAAAAATACATTTATTTAAATGGAATAACTAATATTGAATATTTTATACACATACTTTGCATTGTTCAACTTTCAATTCTATATCTTCTAGTTCTTCTTTAACTGCATCTACTTTATTTGTATGAGAACTCCCAGAATTAGAGTTTTTTAAGACTCCTTGGTATCTTTAAAAAAATATACATAAATAATGGTTATAACTTATAGTATTAAAAGAAAAAATTAAAAATAATATATTCATATTACTTATATAAAACTTAATGCTGATAACTATTTTTATTCAATAAATAACATTTTGAATTTAAATATTAATACAAAAGTAAGGACCACAAAGGAAATTAATATATAGGTCTATATAATAGAGTAATAATTATAAAAAATATATAATTTAGGTTTACTATTAAATATAAAGAAATATTACTTTGCTCGAGCTAAATCCATATCAAGCACCAATTTAGTAAGTAATCGTTTTTGCTTTATAATATTTGGCACATCTACATCAAGAATTTGTTGTAGCTTACTAAGCACTGTTTGTTCAATACGTGATTCATAATCTACACCTGCATTAGCTAAACATATTTGAACTTTGCTACATTCCACTAATACTTGTCTAAAAAATTATAAACATTTAAAATAAACTTGAAATTTAAATTTAAAAATACATATATTTTAAGTTTAAGTTAAATTAAATCAAGCCATTATACATTAACAAACTATGGATTATAAATAGTAAATATATAGGTAATTATAATTTTATTTCACCATAATAAAAAACTTGATTCTTTTACTCAATGGAAGAGTATTAAAGAGGGTCTTTTCTTATCTATCCATAAGTTTGTTTATGTATCAGCAGCTTTAATGCAAACTATAAAAGTATTAAATAAACAATATTTCACCTTAATAAATTATCTTCTTCATTAGGACCATTATCAAGCATTGCCATTGCTAGCAAATAATCAGGCATTTTTTTCTGAAACATTAAAAAAGAATTATTGTTGTATAAGAAAAAAATAAATTAGGTACTTACAAGTCGTTTTTCGCGTGCAGGAGCATCATGGCCAAGCCCAGGTGATATTAATGTAGATAATAATTTTTTTGTAGTATTTTGACATGCATTTTTTATAAATTCAACTCGTTTTTCTGCTGTTTGTAATGTATCAGAAAGAGCTTCCGTTTTACCAGACCTTTAAATTTAAATTCAATAAAAATTTATTTTAAATATTTATAAGTTTATGAAAAAAAAAAAAACATAATCACCATACCTAGAAAATGTCTGGTCAGCAAATTGCTTAACCTTAAAAAACTGCCTTTTCATCTTCGTTATGCTTGGATAAAACTTAAATAGTATAGGTTAATTAAATAATTATATCATATTATTTTCATAAAATGTATAATTGTATAACCTAAAAACCAAAAATAATTATTTTATTAAATAGTTGTAGTCACAAATGGTAGTAGCCTACAATTATCATACAATTTAGGTAAATATCAACATCAATTTGATTAAAGAATTGTTTAAAAAATAGGAGATAAGTAAATGTTTAAATATTGGAATAGAAATACCTATTATTTGAAACGATTGTACAATTTAAATAAATACTTAATGTGTTAATAAATACAATAATTCTTAAACAAAAACTTACTTTTAAACTGTATGGTACTAAATTAAATGTATATAAATAATAATTAAATGTAATCTTATAGTCAGGGTTATATATTTAGGAGTTAAAGGAAATAAATTAGATAACATTAAGACCAATGATTGTAAATATTAATATAAGACTTTTAACTAATTGTTTAACTTGTTAAATAGGTACAGACAAAAAAAAATAGTATACTGTAATTTGCACAATGTAAAGTAATAACTAATAATACCTAGTATTAGTTAGTATTTAGTATATTGCAATATTATGTTCTATGATATATCATATAATATAGTGAATAGGAGAAATCACTCAACATACAATGATTGTATCCTTTCAGTACTGTGAAAAATGTGCTCACGAAGAGGCAACAAAAAACTATAGGTATAGCCAAAATTTATTAGACAACACCATTAGAAAAAAGTTATTTTTAAATAAAAGATGGATAGGACAGGCATACACGTTGGCTGTGTCACGGCATAAAATTAAAGTTAAATAAAATGACAACAAATACAATTAGTCAATATCTTAAACCAAAGTAACATTATTACTAAATGTTTAATAAAAATTAAATGAAATTATTTTTGATTTTAGTCTAAAACTTATAACAAAGTTAACCATTTTTAAAATGTTAAAATTATATAATTTTTTAATTTTACATACATAAAATAAAATATGGATATATTTTATTTAAAATTAATTAATTGAAAAATGCACAACATTGAAGTTTAAATAAAAGTGAAAGTAAATTTATGTTGTGAATAATATTAAATGAATCTACCTACAGTGAGTCATTTCTAAAAATAATAAAATAAATAGAAACGATTTACAGATTTACATTATTTGCGTTAATTTTCATCCTATTCAATTAAATATAACTCTATATTTAATTATATTAAATAAAAACAATGTTAATCAAGAAATTATGGCTAATAGCTCTCAGATGTATATTTACTATCTTAATAATTAGTATATGGTATATTGGCATACACATATTATCTACAGGCTACAGCAATAAATAATAGCATGAAGATGTTAAACAAGCTAGCAAATAATTGTGAGGAAAATTAACTACAATGATAACCTATAAATTATAATTGGAACCCAAGATTTTTTTAACTCAATATAAATACATAATATAGGCACAAGATTGAATACATTATTTTATTTTTACTACTATAGGTATATTTTGAGATCTTGAGTTTATTGTTTCTATAAAAATAACAAATTAATCAATTTTATTTAACTGTATACACTATTATGATTCATAAATAAAAGTCAATAGACTACTTGTAATACAAGTAAGTTGTATAATATCCAATAAATGTTTATTATTTTTATGAATGTTTTATTAAATATTTTACAATTTCTAATACTTTTAAGGCCTAAAGAATTCAGAATATCATAAAATATTTGCATTCTAAGAAAAAATAAATTATAAATAACAATAATATTGATTACATTTTGTAGACAAGTAAAGTATAAGCAATATAACTAATTTATACTTAAATTAATATTATTCTAAGGAATTACACGGGTTTTAATAAATCATAACCATATACCTATAATATGAAAAAAAAAGCCATTAGTTGACAATTTTAAAATGACCATTATTTGTATTTTTTTTATGAATACCTTACAAAAAATAAAAATAACTGATTATTGTTTAACTAATATGTAATTTAATGAGGTCATTCATTCAATTGTTTTTTTTTTTATATAATTGTAGAACACATATTATAATACCTTACTTAGTACATTTTAAATTCGAAAATTGTTTAAAATATAATTGTGTATAAAATAATAATAACATTAGAGATATTTTATTCTTTACAAATAGGCATACATTTTAAACAAAAAATTAACATTATTTTTTTTTAATTATAAACTAACATTTTTTTTCTATAATTTTTGTTTTATACATAGTAATACAAAATATAAATGTATTAATAAAAGCAAATGTTTGGGTTAATTCACATAGTTAGAATTTAGCATATACCTACAACTAAATACAAATTATTTAGATTGATATTTAAAACTAAAATTCAGAGTTCTTAGGTTAATTTATAATAATTAAAAAAGTCAACTAATTTAAATCATAAATATATTTTATTGAATTTAAAAATTAGTTTGTATTCTTGTTTACAATAAAATATATTCTTATTTTACAGTCATTGATTCTTTAATTTCTTTACAACTTAATATAGTTCCTAATTATATTGTGATAAGAACAATATAATATTGTCTCCGAATTTCCTTACAATTGTTCAATATCCAAATAATTTTAGTAGAATACTGTATTACTGTTAAATATATTGCTATACATTCCTAGCTGAAATAGTTTGATTTTACCAATATATACAATAATGTTACTATCAATAGGTAAATAGTTTTTGTTTCTTTTTATTCTAAACTTTCCATAAATATGAATAATATTTATTGGACACTAGGTACAACAAATAGAATTTATACAACGAGGTTATGATGTGAAAACGTATAATAAAAAATATTTGAATTTATTTTATGGACCAATTTTTATATGGAAAAATCAATAAGTGAGTTGCAAGTTGTATATTAGAATAAAAGCAAGTATCGGGTTCAACTTAATAAAAACATTTGACCAAGTCTACCACATTTGTGTTACTTTGTACTGAAGTTTTTAGATTTCACAATAAATCCTTATGAAACTATATTTGAAAATAAAAATAAAAATGTACTTGGATTGTAGATAAATTACTTTTAAAATCATTTGTTCAGAGAAATAAGCAAAAAAGTTTAACTTTATAACTTACGATGCAATGCTAGCGGCGCCCGACGTTATCCTCCGACCATCGAACTTCGAGAAGGACAACCACAGCATGAAACGGAAACGTTTTTACTCATTTAAGGGAAAAAATGAAAAATTCAATTTTTCTACAACTAGATAAGGAAAAAACTTTAAAAATTGGTGAAGGAAAATGTCAACATTTATACAGCGCTGCCAACAGAGATAACTAACCGATTGTCATATTGTGTTACCGCAAAGTGCGCAAAATTTTTTAATACAATAGATTTTATTTTAACGAATTACAATTATTGCAGACGAACATTGGCTAATACGACAAAACAATAGGGCACCTGATCACGAATTCTCGTCATATTGGCATAATAAAATGCTATCTAAACTATTAAAAACCATTTATGAATTGATGTGGAAAATAATAGAACAAGTTTAACGTAATTTCGATTTTTAGACGCTGCACTGTACACGTAATCGCTAGTTGGTAGAATCGATAACATTTCTGATATCGAAAATTTTCTTTGAATTTTCCCTTGTCTGATTTTGTATTACGGGTTTCGAACTTTTACACTTCATATTTTTTTAGTTGAGACGATATAATTAAGTATTTTAGTGTTTAATAATAAATGCTGCAGAGAAATGGCAGGACAAATAGTGAGTATCTAAATGGCTAAATGTTATCGAGTTACATTATTTCTATTGTTGTACAAAATACAATATTAACTTTTCATATAAAGGTGCTGTGTCATTGAGTGTTTAACTGGTTTTAAAATATTTTCTTTTTAAATGCCAATCAGGCTATTGATAATTTAAACATCCTTCATGTCAAATATTGTTTAATTTCTATTTTATTTACATTACTCATTTGATGCACTCAAAAAGCAAATTTTCACATTTCTGTTGTATTTTTCCACTAATAGTAAAATTTAATTTAACAACAACTATTACAATTTAAAACTTCTCCCAGGTTATTAATTATTTGTTATATTGTACATATGATTTAATCCTTTTGTTTCTTAACTAACTTATTTTATAACTATTATTTCTTAAGTGTATATTAATATATTATATAATTGGATATTTATGTTAAATAACCTTAGACTCTCCTAAACAATTATTTTATAAATGTATATTTATTTGAAAATTTTTCAGGTGTTACGTGTAGAATCTCCAGATGGAACAAAAAGAGTACAAGTTTCACCTACGGAATCAAGTTATAATTTATTTGAAAAAGTATACCTACCTATTAAAATATTAATTTCTTTATAGAATTTCTACTTTATATTTCAAAAACAGTGGAATTTATACAAGAACTTTATAATATGTTATAAATAATTCCTTTTTTCATGAAACCTCAATTGAGTATTCATTATTCAGGACTATTTCAGAAAAATATTTTACTAATATTATTTTCAAAATGTTAACAGGTGTACAATGTATTTTCTCTTACAAATTATGGATTCACATTATTTAATGATCGAAACCGTAAAAATGAAATTAAATCATCTAGAAGTGTATACTTGAGCAGCTTAAATCTGAAACATGGAGATAAGATATACTTGTGTCCATTAGATCCAGATAACATATGGGCAATTCCTGGCCCATCAAATGCAGAATCTGCTAACGGAAGTCGTTCTTCGTCAGTGGTTTCTACACCAGGATCCACTACATCAATCCCATCAAATGGAAAGAAAAGTTCAGGATCAACAAGTCAAGTAGAAGAAGATGAAGTGGATAAACAACTATGGAAATTAGATGGAAAAATTAAACGTCTCAAAGACAAAAAATAGTAAATAATAATATCATACATTTTTAATTGTTCATATTACCGTTTAATATAGGTACTTGATGATAATGAGATATACTTTTAGTTGCCGTCATGGAGATAATGGATGTTGTGTCCATTGTTCACCTTTAGAACCATACGATGAGGAATATTTAAAAACACAAAATATGAAGCATTTATCTTTTCATTCATACCTCAGAAAAATGACTGCTGGAGTGGCAAAGTAGTTTAACTATTTTTTTAAAAAATGATACAAATAATCAATGAAATTAAATTTTTACTTTTAGAGGAAAATTTTTACTATTAGAAAATATAAGTTGTCGTATAAAAGAAGGCTGTGCTGGACATTTGCCATGGCCTAAAGGTATATGTTCAAAATGTCAACCATCAGCCATTACATTAAACAGACAAGTAAATAACTTATGTAAATTGTTGAGATCTATTTTATTGATTTATATAAAACTTGGTTTTTGTAGACCTATAGGCATGTTGACAACATTATGTTCGAAAACTCAGAGTTGGTGGAACGTTTTTTGAATTATTGGAGGATTACTGGACATCAACGTATTGGATTTTTGTATGGTCGATATGAGACACATCCTGATATACCACTTGGAATAAGAGCTATAGTTGCAGCAATTTATGAACCACCTCAAGTATTTATATTCATGTTCAAAAAGATAATTAAAGAACTTTTTTGTAGATTATTTCTTTTTTTTTCTATTCAATGCAACTAACTGATAAGTACTAATATTTTAGGAAAGTTCAAGAGATCATGTTAAATTATTGCCTGATGAAAGACAAGATATAGTTAATGAATTGGCCAGATGCTTAGGGCTTTCGTGTGTTGGTTGGATTTTTACTGATCTTTTGACTGAAGACATGCAAACTGGAACTGTATGATTATTTATTATGTATTTATTACTATAATTATAATTTTTTAAATAAATTGTAGGTAAAATATGTTAGAAACATAAAAAGTCATTTTCTATCTGCTCAAGAATGCATAATGGCTGGATACTTTCAAAATTTACATCCAAATCCTTGCCGTTATGCATCCAATGGATATTTCGGTTCGAAATTTGTTACTGTCTGTGTAACGGGTATGTGTACATACAATTAATAATGTAGTAATAACTTATAAGAGTCCAGTTGTTAAATGTTTTTTAAATAATTTATGATGCTATTTTGGCTGTGATGTTTTTTATTCATAAGTATAATTTTTTATGTAACATAATATATTATGCATGAAAGGTAAAAGTAATTGCAATTAAATTATTATGTGATAATTCTTAGGGTCAGTTTTACCATATAATTAATTATAGTAGTTAAATATCTGTTATCAGCTGATGAAGCGTAATCAAAGTTTAAACGTAGGCAGTACAACTGGCCCTTAAAGTCATATAAATATATAATTTGTAAATACACAATTATATTTTAGTATTAATTATAACAATTTCCTAATGGTTTCTTAATTGCCATATTTAAAATTGATCGATAGTTTTGTATTAATTTGTAACTATTGACAATATTGATTTTATAAGTTGTTTATGTAGGTTTGGCAGAATTTATATTTATTATAATTTTGGATAATAACTAAAGGCTCAGTCAAACAGAAAGAGGTCTGCCAGCACGGGCACTGTAAAATAATACAACCGGATCGCTGCCCGTACTCCATGGCAGCTCGCTCTCTTTGACTATTGACTGAGCTTTTATACACAATTTTTAATTTTAATTAATTTGCATGGGGCTTACAGGAGATGAAAAATGCCAAGTACACATGGAAGGCTATAGTGTGTCTAATCAGTGTATGGCTTTAGTTAAAGATGATTGTTTGGTACCAACCAAGGATGTACCCGAATTGGGGTTTGTTCGAGAATCTTCAGACAAACAATATGTGCCTGACGTCTACTATAAGGTATGAATGATAAAGTTCTACATTTTTTTTACCTAATTATACTATTTAGTTTAATATTTACAATTTAAAAACATTAGTTCATTGATAAACTTGAAAGATTTTTTAGTAAACTATGTATATTTTATAAAATGATTGCGACTGTGTGTCCCTTATGCATTCCTAAACCGTTCATTAAATTGCGATGAAATTCGGTACAGAGATAGATTAGACCTTGAGGAGGAAGATAAGTTATTTTGTCGCGAAAATAAGGTAAATAAGAGGACGAATCCGGGGATGTTCTCCAACATGGATTTTGAGATGATTATTGTTATTATTATTATTAATAATGCGATAGGACTATGTGTTTTAGTACAGAATGTACTGCAAAATTCCATCGTAACCACAAAAATTAGTTTTTGTTTGTGGCTACTGCCTGCGTTATCTCAAAGGAGAAAGTTGCCAAAAAAAAAATTTATATATAATTATATTATACAAAAAAAGCTAGTATTTTTTAGAAAACAGAAAGACTTATAATATTAGGTAATTAAATTATAAATAACTAAAATATTAAAAATTATTATTTGTAAATTAATTTATAAGCTTCTAACTTCTTGAATTTCATATAAATCAAGTATCCAATTAAATTGATATTTTATATATTACACTACACATATTTTTTTAACTTATAGGAAATAAATATATGGGGTATTCAATACAATTTTCAATAGTTTTATATTTCAAATTCTTTGACTCAATTAATAATTGATATATTAAATAAAATAATACTTAATATTATTATTATTTAGTTTCTGGTAGATTCATACCTATCTGTCTGATGTGGGTTTCCTTAACCACAGAAACAACATGTCATCTATAATCAAATTCAACCCATACCTTCTCTAGCACATTATAAATTATAATTGACTTCGAAAATTTATTTTAGCTTTTCTGTGGAGGTAATGATAATATGTACACAATTTCTTTAAAATATCTTTAGAAAAAGTAGTCACGTGGCATAAGATTTGGTTACCTAGGAGGCAAGGTACAAAGAATGTGATGAATCATGATTATAATTTTATATAAACAAAATTAAACATTTTAGACAGTAAAAATGAATGTAGGTATATAAATTTTTTATTAAATGATAATATTAAAAGGAGGTCGCACCTGTGTGTGTGTCTTACAGACATAACCTGGCACATCAACTTACCAAATTCTTACTACCGTTTATTTATAATTAAATTAATATTATAGAAAATACACATATTAACAATATTATATACTGTACTCAAACAGTTTTTTTTTTAAATTTGGACTTTAAAATGAGAAACGTACTTAAATAATTCTTTTTTTTCAAACTCATAACTTTAAAACAAATGTATGAAAAAAATGTATAATATTACTTTTTATTCAACTCTCTGATTTTGATAAATAAATTTGCTCTAATTATTAATAAATAAACTGTAATTAGAATCTGCTACATAGATAATATGTTATGTTACGTGTTTGCATGATAGAGACAACACATGCGAGTAAGACCTCTTATAGTCTTATTAAATACAATACAATGCTTTAAATTATTTAAAATTCAATTTTTACATTTTGAATATGATCTTTAATAATTTAGAATTGTTAATTGGGGTTACATATTAAAATCGAGATTAAAATTGATATAGTAATAAATAACTGTAGAATTTATTTATGGTGGATTATCGTTAGGGCTTATAGGTAGTAATTAATAGCTTCAAAAAAAACTCAAAATTTCCTAAAAAAAATATAATACGTCATGTTATCTATCCAATAGTATTCTTATGATGCTCTCTCCCCAAGTCCAAAAAATGTATTTAAATCTTTAAGCTACCTAAGTTAAAGGAGGTTTTTTAGTTCTAAGCAGACTAATGAATCTATCTATAGGTCTTAATTATGTAAACAGTAAACCCAAAGTGTAGCAATTGCTTAATAATACCGTGCAGATCTTACACATAGATTATACAAAATTGAATTTCTTGTTTAAAACATTTCAAAATCATGATAATATTATGTTCTATGATTTATCTAATTTTAATAAAATAATGTAAATTATTTTGCAATCCATTTTTAAAATATAATAATATGCCTTTATAGTTTATATATTATGGTATTCCATCCAACTGATTCTTGTTGCTTGAATTTTAGATTCTGAGTGGAACGATGAATATAATGATTTTACAATGATGTGTTTTTTTTTTTTAAATTTGTTTCTGCCATCACGGTTTGGGGCAGTAAAACTGCTTTGATTTTCTTCAACAGTATCTTGTTCGATGGGAAAGTGAATCTAGTTGGTGAATTCGGGAGATCAAATTTTAAAACTCCCAATAGTTTTCAAAAGCGCTGGGTAAAACAACATACAAATTAAAGAAAAACGGGAATTTTTCCACAAAATCAATATTGGTTTTTGGTGTAACTCTAAAAAAAATAAATGTTTATACATGAAATGTTCACTGGTTGTTTATATTTGCATTTTCTATACACGATAACATTTTCAAAATATTTTGATTTATTTTGAACTGTTAAGAAACATTTTCTGTTTCCAATTTCATTAGTTTTTTTTTCTATAAATATCAATAAAATTTTATTTGTTGGTTAAAAAAACTTGAAAATTTAATAGAAGGTTTCTAGTATATTGTTTCAAAGGCAAATGAATAAAATGAAAATCCATAGTCACAATATTTTTTATAAGCATTTAAAGTTCAAATATTGATAAAATACGTAAAAATGACGAAAATTTGCAGATTATTTTGGGTTAGAAATTCATAAAAAATTTTCTTTTTAAATCTAAGTTTGAAAATGTAATATAAGATTCCTCATAAGTTTATCTACCTTTGTCAAAAAAAAAAAAAAAATGTATACAAGAAAGTCAAATTTAATTTTTATGAGCGTTTGAAATTCATATTTTTACAACATTTGATATTCGCTCGATTTCTCATGTAACGATTATTTTGTTGTATTTAAAAAATGAATGACTAGATACTTGAAATTTCACTGAATGTATATATTAGCGTTTTCTATACACTATCAAATTCTGAAAATATTTTGACACTTTAAACTGTTTACTGACATTGTCAGTTTTTAATTTTAGATTTGGTAGATTTCTACCAGGAGTGCTTTGGTTTCAACATATAATACCTTATATTTTTGCAAATCGGATCAAGATGGTACTTTAAAGATGCAATTTTTCTATTTTATCAAAAGTTATTTAATGGCACGGTTAAAACCACTTGTTTTTCTTATACAATGATAGAATATCATTGAATTCAAGTTTAATACAATCCATTATACAATCACCCACTTGTAACCTACTATACAGCAGAGCGACATCCACTTCCCCGCTTTTTTTCTATAAATTTGTTGGGTAAAAAAGGGTGAACATTTAATGCAAGGCTCCTGATATATTGTTACAATAGCAGTTGAAAAATATTAAAAATACATAGGCACAATTTTTTTTTATAAGCACTTAAAGTTCAAATTTTGGCAAAATGTATCAAATTTAAAATGTAATAATTATTTTGTAGTTAAAAATGTATAAAATTTTCAACTTTTATAGCTAAGGATTGAAAATTTAAAACAAGGTTCCCCTTAAATAGGTTATATATAAATTACTTAATATCATCAAATATACTTCATAGGCTGACTGACTGTTTTCGCTCAGAATCGTTTTTCTTATACAATGATATTATATCATTGAATTCAAATTTAACACCATCCATTACAGTGACCCACTTGTAACTTACTGTACAGCAGAGCGACATCCACTTAACCCACTTTTTTTAATTACATTTTAAAAATATTCTATAATAGTTCCAGCCTTTTTTTTAAATCTCTATAATTTTGAATATTGAATGTACAGTTTTTTAAATATTTCTTACTAAACATGTTTAAAATTAAAATGTAACAACTATATTTGTTGAAAACTTGGTTACTGTTAAAAAGTATTAGTACATTTATTGAATTTGGATATTTATAGTTTGATCTGAAACATCACATAATATGATTTTATTTGGCTTATTATATTATATTCGAATGATATTGAAAAATATAGCCACATACAATTTGTAGAACTATACTTTTTTTTTGTATTCAGAATTAAAATAAAAGATCTGGTATACATACTATTAAAAAAATTTTTAATTGTCAAATACAAATAATAAATTCCATCAAAAATATATTTATTGTTCATGACAGACACTACAAAATGATTTACAATTATTCATGTATGAATATGTCATAATTTATTATTCTGATTAATAATATTAACCTCACTCATCAACATTTAATGTATACATTTATATTATATAACTCGGTTTACTTATTGTTTACAATTATTTGGTATAATAAAATAAAACAAACCTGTCTTGTAATAAATAAAACATTTTCAAAAGAAAAAAAAGATGTCTGGGTAAAATCAAAAAATAATATGAATACTTAGTATAGATTAAAAAATCATTCATGAGACCATTTTTATTTAAATAGTTTTAACTATTTCGCAATTAAAATTTAAAAAATACTGTTTTCTTTTGGAATATAATAAATCACAAAATAATTTATTCTTGGTATTGATACATTTGTGTAATTGTCTTTTTTATTCAAATTATAAACATTGATACTTATACATTTTTTTACCTCAACTTTAACAATAATTAGATCAACTTTGATTGATCTATATACAGTAAAATGTAAAAAACATTATAATTAAAGTTGTGTACCCAAACACTATATAATATGTAATGTTATTCTGAACTTTAAATATATAACTTATGCATATCTGTAAGAAAAGAAGTACCGTTAAGATACAATGGTACACATCTTGAAAAATAATAACATCAATAAATCACTGTGCGCAGCTTTAATTTTTAAAACGCCATTATATTATTTGATACATTTTAATATATATGGGATATAATTATCTTTATTATTTAAAACTAAAATACAGTTTGGATTTTAAAATAAATTCATCGAAACCTTCGATAATGGATTACAAAAATACACATAAACGTTCACTTGCTTCTATAAACTACTTGATCTATTATTTAGTTTAGATTTACATTAAAAAGAGGGTTATTTTAAACTTTACCACAACTAGATATGACAAATGTCTTGGACGGTTTGCCAGTTTGATCTCCAAACGAGGCCATTTTTTCAACGAGATCAATACCATCTACCACATGTCCAAAAATTGCTGTGAACCCACGCATCTCTTGTAGAATAATACGAAATTGTGATCCAACCATACCCATATTATCATGACGTTTTTGAGTGCGGCGCATTCCTACAGCTCCTCGAACGGCAGGAAACTTAGTATCATCAGGCATGAAGTAACTTTCATCATATATAGATTTTCCGCCACGACCATTGTTCAACTCAAAATCACCTGTAATCACAGATTCTCCATCCCAACATTGAAATATTGAGCAACCTTTATATGAACAACCACCTGTATCACCAACAGTTAATACTTCAAAATTCTTTGACATTTTTGGCGCTACATCTGGACGAGTTTCAATGACTAAACGACCAAATGATGTCCCATTTACTTCAATATTGAAGTAAAACATGGGAAAAGTGTTAACATTACGTATTGAAGGTACATTATTCAAAGTAGTTGGTGGTGGACTGTTTTGTGACGTTATCAGTACTGGTTCATTTGATGATATTGAGGATAGAGACGTTGTGTATTGAGTGGTAGACGAATTTCCAGGAGAATTTTTTGCAAACTCTGGTCCATTCACAAGTTGGGTGACATGTTTAGGTAGTACATATCTTGTAAACAATTGTGCAGTACAATAGTTAGCCAAGAAAAAAATATGAGTATTCGGATTTGCCAAATCTGCAGACTTATATGATTCTAAAGCCATAGACTGTAATGAAGACAATGATTGTTTGATCATACCAAAATCTAACAAGTTAGTAGAAGATATAATATCTTCTAATTGGCCATGTGCAAATTGTTCAGAGTATTTATTTTGTACTTTCTGCTTCACTTGTTCCAGCCGATTTAAATATAATTGTAAATCATATAAATCATCGGTACGTAAATTAGACGGTTTGATACTATTCAAAGTTTCGTTGGTCTGCAGTAAATCGTTTGTATTTTGAGTCCAACCACTGTTTAACTCTAGTTCAATTTGAGTTTTTAGCGTGTTACAGGCATCTAAAACTCTCAAGAGAAATTGGCGTTTGTGTCCAAATAAATTTTGAATTTCACTCATCAGTTTAGCAATAGCTATAGTTTCAACTTGAACCTATAATATAAAAATGGATTATAAATTAGTATACAATTTAAATAGCAAACAATACTTACTTCACTGATAAGATGGTCACGTGCATCGTTATTTGATTTTATAGAATGTCCAATATGGTCAGATTGAGTTCCACACGCTCGGCATAACAGCTGTTGGCAATTGTAACACCAAAATGAAAACGGCATTCCATGTGTATGACAATTTTCTCCCTAAAAACAAAAAAATACCATAATATTTTTAAGTATTAAGATTATTTAAATCAATATTAAAAACAAACCTTTCGTTCTTTATCAACAGAATTATTGACTTTAACATTTGCCAGGTGTCTAATTAGACTGAGAATAGACTTTTGTGTTCGCAGAGTCTCTGGAGATTGCTCATCTAATTCAGTACGCTTCCAACAATTTATGCAATATACTTCCAAACCTTTGAGCATAGTAGTCTTAACACATTGCAAACAAAAACAATGCTTACAACTAAGTTCCTTGGGCACAAATTCTGTTTCATTGAATTTCTGCTTACAACAGCCACATATGATAAGTTCTTCAAACTCAAAATCTTTTTTCGTATCCATCATCTATAAACAACTGACAATTATTTCTGTATTCAATACAACCATTTAAAAAAAAAAGTTAAGCATATTGGTTGAATAATATCTGTACCACATGATTAATTTATATTTAAATAATTGATAAAAAAAATGTACAACAATATGCATACACGATACATCAAATACTTATATTTTATTTGTTATTCTTCTAGATTATTATGCCAAAATTAACCATTCTACTACTACCATAATTTGATATTGTTCATATGTATTCAATACAATAGTAAAATACCTTGAACTTAATTATTTATATACGATTTTGTAGATCAATTTGGTTAAAACAACTCAAATTAATAATGTTTTTTGATTATGCTATATTAGAATATTGTTATTCTTTTATGATATTAATATATAATATCAATTCATTTATTATTATTGATATTAAATATTATAAATAGTGAATATGTCAAATATTGATAATTGTTGGAAATTATTTTTTAAATTTATCAAAAACAAGTAGGTACCTACATGTAAAATTAAAGTTTACTATCAGAAATTATATATATTTGTCAAATGTCAAGACGTATAATTGAAGATTTGAATAGCTTAAAAATGAACACTATATTTTATGTGAAGAATTTTTAACCTTGAAATTTATAATTTAGATTACAATAAAAAGATTTTTTAAAAGCTTTCGACAAGATAATGCATCTCATTTATCAATTCTTACAAAGTACGACATAATAATGATATCATCGTAAGTATTATTCATGACGTATTATATTATTATTCTGTACTCGGAGTGACGAAGGTCAAGGGTGGTCGATAATAATAACATTGAACACGATTCATATCAACCGTGTGCGGCGTCTAAGTGCGTTTTATTTTATTGTTGTTTTTTTTTTTTTGGAAATATCTATATTATGTAATCCACCAACGGGTCCCAGGAAAATCCCAATTTGTATTTTACAAGCATGAAATTATTAATAGATAAATATCATGTATGGCAGTGTGCGCGAAGAAGGCACGAAATCAACTTACACTTTGGTGCAATGTAAACAATATAATATAACGGGCTGCCGAACGATTAGCGCCGTGTGTTACACATGTAGGTGTAGTGTATTATTATTTATTATTATAGATAATAAATATATTATGATATTACGACGACGGTGTGTATAAAAAATAATAATAATAAACAACAACAACTCGTGTGCGTTGTGATAAGTACGTTCCGCGTACGGCGAGCGCGTAAAAATACCGATTACGAGTTACGCCTGGCGCACTTATCAATGGCGACGACGACGGGAAAACGCGATGTGACCGACGGCGCACTGTATAAAATATTAATAGTATTAAATGGTATTAATTATACCGCGACGGCGGCGCGATAGAGTAAAAAAAAATATTCGATTATCGACAAATAATGTATTTCGTTGTGTATCGAACGGACGACAAACGACGGGAAGGCGACGACGGAGCGACGTTGAAGGCAGACGGCGACAACGTTCGAACGATAATAGTGTATTGCGAATTACGATTGCAAGAATAATTGTTATACGATTTATTTCAACATAATAATATATTATATTAAATTATGCCATTAAATCTTATATGATTATTTGGCGCGACGACGACGACGGTGCCGGTGTTGTTGTTGTCGTAGCAGCGGCAGTGAAACCGGGGCGGCGTCGTAGTCGGCGGGCCGTCATCGTTGATTTTCCACTGTGCACAACTACACGCGAATCGCGCACGACGATAATATCGGCTTGGTCGGCGGCCGTACCGTTCGGTAATAACCAACAATAACAATAAAGACGACCACAACAACAACAGCTACTACTACTACTACGACGGTATCGACGACAGCGGCCGCCGTGTTGCATGGCGATCGCTTCGGACTGTGTGTACACGACTGACGGCGACCACTGGTGTCGAGGCGGTGGCAGCAGCGTCGGGCCCGGTGTTGATCCCTCTCCCGCGCGCGCGGGTTTTTCGGAAGTACGCAGTTCGCTAGCGGCGCAGAGCGACCCGGCTCCGGGTTTCGGGTCTTATTTTTCTTTCCACGCCGCCGTGTTGTTGTTTTCTAACCGTCCCGGCGAACCCTCCCACTACCCTTTACATTGCCGCGCCATGTCGGCAGTGCATGACGTACGCACGGTCTACCGTAACACTATTTACGTTAATACCCACGCTCCCCCCCCCTTCATCGTCGCGTCCATCCGGCCACCGGTTGTTGTTGTTGTTTGGGTGTGGGGTGGCGTCTTTCTTTGTGGAAGGGGGGGGGGGGTCAAATGAAAAAATCGTGTCCGCCAACCCGTCTTTGTTTTTTTCTTTATCGTTACATATTATATTACACAATAATAATATTATACAGCATACGCTGACGGCTCCTTCAAACTGACACTGACTGCAACAGTGCAGCTGCGACTGGTAAGAACGATAAATAATGATATTATACTCTAGCCGCGATAGCCGATAGGTATCAACTACTGTCTACTCTATTGAACTACCATCAACATGTAAAATTTGAAGTGGGAAGTGTTATTATTTATTAGAGACATAAAAATAACGTAGTATTATGTTATGTTACCATCAATTGAGAATTGGTGAGTGTTTGAGAATTGAGATGGTGACGCGACGATTGTGTACTTATTAGTTATTATTGTTCTCACTCCCGGGCGGCAATTCCGCGATACGAATGTTTTTGTTTGGTACTATTGTACGTTGTCGATTTTGTCTCATTCCGCGTACCACGCGAATAACATGTCCATGTTAACGGAGTGTCGGAGTATCATAATTGTGTGAACGTGCTACACTGCTACCTACTGAGATTTTAAAAACCTCGATTTTAATGTAAACAATTTTAGAGTGTAATATAATAATAATAAAATAATATGGTACTTATCTGGACGATCGGACTACCTGGATGCTGGATTAATCTAGAATTTACAAATTTACTGGACTAAAATACATATTATTTGAACTAGGTACCATTATTTGTACATTAGCTCATTCAACTACGTATAATATAATGAAAAAATAATATAAAATTAGTATTACTTTTAGAAGCTAAAAAAAAATGTTTTATTTCTCTAAATATTGAATCATATTGTTTCGAATTGATGTAATTTTGTCGCCACATAAATTCCACTAAAAATGAATCATTGTGGCGTGCGGTCCCTCTGTGGACTTAGTTGCACCCACTCACTGGTCAGTCTAAATATTTTTACATTTTACGTGTGTACCATAGTCACAGAATCGACAAATTAATAGTATGCCTATTACCTATCGTAATTAGGATCTCCTCGAAAAAAAAAATGTACCATCGTTGAAGTGAAAAAATTCTTCAAATGATATTGTAACCCTCTCAATAGTCCAATTAGGACTGTCCAATATCCATGCACTCAACAGAAATGCACCTCTAACCAGTTCGCTTTGTATTCGAACTACTCTTTATACCAACCACCCTTCCTTTGAAACTACCGACTTAAAAACAATTCGTGACTGTTAGTGGACTGACTATAATTTGTCCATATTTTGTATACCATTACCTTAGCAGTAATTACTGTAATGATACCAGTGGCGTATTTACGATTTTGGTGTCCCTTTTCTTCTCAGTTTCCTTTTACTCATTGTCACAAAAAACTTTTAAGTCCCCTCTAAATTACAATTTACTTTTTTTCTCAGTTAATATTTGCAGGGCATGAAACCGGTATAAACCGTTATAAATCCGAAACCGAAAAAAAAATTGGAAACCGTCATTAAAATCAATACCGACTCGAAAAAAAATTGGATACCTAATAATAATTATTATAATAAAGTATAAAGTATTAAATATTATAATTAAAAACCGAAAATATAATTTAGAAAACGGTATTTTTTGAAAATCTTTGTATCTTCATATTTTGGAAAGCTTAGTTTACACAACAAGCGATCGGACGCTCGATCCGGCGATTCAAAAAAAATAATAAACTAAGAATGAACGTAAATAGTCCAGGTCTTGAAACCGATTTTAGGAACCGGTATAAACCGCTTAAAAACTGAAACCGATAACAAATTCGGAAAAAATTGGAAACCGGAATTAAATCCAAAACCGAAACCGAAAAAATTTGGAAACCAGTGTACAAATTGAAACCAAAACAGAAATTTTTTCAATAGATTCAAGCCATGTAATAGTGATAATTGATAACTCAAAATGTATATTTACCCCTTATTTGCATTTATGCTTCCACTAATTTAGAGAACCCTTTTATTTTACCATTAACACTCCATTTATTCCTAATAAAAAGTCTACCTTTATAATTAAAAAAACAAATTATAATTTAGATTTTAGCCTTTTTTTACGACAATTTAATAAAATACATTATATAGAAATATGTATAGAAAAATAAAAGATATTATAGGAAAGATACAGGTATTTACTTATCAGTTATCACTAATATAATTTCTCAACAAATCCAATAAAATAAAAATTAATTTTGTTATAACCTCTAGCAACTTAACTCTAGTTGGGTTGAATTGAGTAATTTACCATAAAACCCTAAAATCCCGAAATTCGTAGAACTATTCAAGAATTTGAAAATTCAAGGGTGGGTTTAAATGGGCTTTATTTAAACAAACCATTTATACCCATAATAAAACCCACAAAATAATAAATTACTGTACAGCCTGCAGGCCCGCATTTAGGGATGGGCGCTAGGTACAACTGCCCCAAGCACCAGCATTTTAGGGGAGCCAATATTTTGTGGTCAAAAATTGGTTTACTTATGAATTATTAAAATTTTATAATTTTAATTATTTTAATAACAGTATTATATATAAGTATAGTATAATTTAGTATTATAGTATTATGCTGTTTGAAATTTTTTTAATTTATATTAATTTGCATAGTTTTATGTAATTATATTTTATTTATTCATGAAGTACCTATAACCTACTTAAATATAGTAAAAAAAAACTACTTATATGATGAATTATAAGCAAGGTTTAAGTGACATAATTCAATTGTATCTTTGCGGAGAAAG